AAGCAGCATGTATCGTTTCTCCTTCCATTGGCTGTTTATCCAACATCAATACAACACTTTAGGAGCCAAATTACTAAACAAGCTGCCAATTAGGCTTGCAGTCAGCTGGATAGATTAGTGGCTAAGAGAGGCAGATACAAGATTTTCATCTCTTGAGCCAATTACGCAAGTGAATTACCATCCACAATGCTCCTTGGAAGATTTGAGGTAGAAAGACTGACTCTGCTGTGATAGACATAAGTGAGATCCAGGGTAGGGGGTAAGGGTTAGCAGGCCATGTATTGCAAAAATTACCCAAGCAAAAAAGAGATCCTTCTAGGAAAGGATTTAAAGGATTTAAGGCTGCTGGGAGCGATAGAAGAGGAAATAATAGTTGTGGTATGCTCTGCGAAGGCATTGCTGTTCTGCTCACAAGTCTTAATCATATAAAAGAAAGATGAAAGGGCAAGACTATATTTATGTACAGTGTCATTTTCCCAGAGCTGTTTAAAAACCTGTTTTCCTAACATCAAAAATAGTTTGGTGCCAGAGACAAAATTACTTCACTATGCCTTCATTTGTTTCTTACAACTGAGGAGGGGGGAACCAAACTACATTTTCTTAAAAAGGGTTATCTGAAGACTGAACCTATCTGTATTCTGATTTTATTCAGACCAATATAAACCAAACATGCTTGATGTTGGTCTTATCCAGCCATTGGACCATACAAATAAATATTGTCACAATAGTGGTTTATGGGGTCACAGTTCCTTTATTGTTCTATAATGCACGATAACTTAAATGTTGAGCTTTTAATTTTTAGAAGCATTTTGCAAATAAAATGGATCTGTCAGATGAAAACTGTTCATAGGCTCATTTGTTTCCTGATGAGAATGTTGTACACTGGTGTAACATTGTTTCTTAAACACGAAGCAAATTTAAAAGCTGAACTTTTGCAAGCTGCTGTATCCAAAAATGATTAAACAGATGTGGAGCCTGCAGCAGCATTAGACCTCTGATCTGATTTTAGCTTACAGATGGAATTAAATTAATTCATGGCAATCACTGTAAAATCAAGGGTATGGCACTGAATGCTAGTGTACTGTTTAACCAGGACATACCTGTCTCAACAGCTGTTAAGAAAAAATTAAATACCTTTATTTTTCATTGAAACCTGCCTTTAATGCCATCATAAATATTATATCAAAATTTTAAAAATGTGATGAGTTTTTTGTTTTCCCCTTCCCAGTTTTGTCACTTACATAGGTTTCATGTTCCATGTATGTAAGGTCATATGCAAAATACTTGTAGACCTTGAAGTGTGTCTATTCATACACACAAAGGTTTGAGGATGGTCTTTTTTTCTTTCAATTGGCAATATTACAAAAAGGAGCATAAGTGAGGGTATTTCATAGTGTTGTCTTTTCAAAGAAGTTACTGTTCCTCCTTACTTGTATAACAGCAGCCACTTCTACATGCAGAATATTCATCTGGTAGATCAGGAACCAGTTGTTATGGTTGCTAAAAACATTTTCAGTCTACAGAAAGAAAAGGCTCTGCACAGGAGATTCCTACAAATTACTGGTGCAGAGACTTCCTTGTAACTCCTGGAGCCCCAGAAAACCTCATACAGCAATAACCTTAGAAAAATGTCCCTCCAATTTTTTTTTTTTAATCTGATTTTGCATAGTTATTTTTTGTGGGACGACGCAGTGGGTTGATTTTGCTCTTGCTCCTGGGTGGGTCAAGACTGAACACGTCCCAGAGGTAGCACAGCCGTTTTCAAGGCCACTGTGCTTGGACCGTTCTCTCTAACAGGCCCTACTGGCTAGTCCAAGAAGTGCCATAGGCATGAATTAAAAACTGAACTTGAAGATGAATATTGCAAGGACAATTACTGCTTTTAATTAGAAAATAAAAGCCCAAAGCACAGGAATGGGGGTCAGGGGAATAGCACACAGTGTAGCGTGATTTTTAAGAGCTCTCTCCCGTCATGCAGTCAATCAGCAATGCAAATGTTTTTTTTTTTTCCCCAATTGCTGATTGCTCATGAAATGGAAGAAGAGGGCAATACCACTATCCATATTCTTTGGATTCAAGTAAAATATCTTGCATTACAGATAAATTTTTCAAATGATGGGTGAAAATTGCAGGAATGTTAAAGACAGATATAGATAGTACTTATATAAAAACTGACTAAACTGGAAAAGAATGGTCTGCATATATTAAATATTTTTCACAATTCAAATAAGAGTTATCCATATTCACCTCATTTACAAGAAGGGGTAATTAGTCAATTAGCAATATAGGCAAGATGGTTGAAAGTATGGTTTTGATTTTGCCTTATTCTTGCTGCAATAGAAAGCCTCCAAACACATTATTCTTTGGACAGTGTATGTTGTTTGACTGCTTACCCAAAAGTGGATTGTGAAGCCAAGTTTATTGTGGTTTGTCTTCTCTCTTTTTGTTTTTTTCTTTTTCTTTCTTTTTTTTTTTTTTAACTCTGGTGCCATACAAGAGTAAAACAGAACTCTGAGGGAGAGCTTCAGCTTTTAACAGCCTATAGAAACGTATGTACAGTGAAGGGGAAAATACTTACAGTGTACATTCTAGAAGTACTTAAATGTCTTTAAAAACAAATTATTCCAATTATCCTGTCACCAAAAAAAAAAAAAAAAAAAAAAAAAAAAAAAAAAAAAAAAAAAAAAAAAAAAAAAAAAAAAAAAAAAAAAAAAAAAAAAGAAAGCTACTTCAAAAAGTATCAAAAATAGAAACACTGGTTTACTAAATAACATGTCAGGGTACAGATTGTTTTTTCATATATCTTCTTTGTGAGATTCCATTGGCTGTCTTCAGAATTGAAATACAAGAAAGGTACATCTGTTACAGGGAAAGGTCTGTGGGTTTTTCCCCCGAATAGACTAACAAAAAAAGCTTTTTACATTGTGTCAGTTTATGCCTTGCATACTGTTCCAGCAGCATTGCTACCTTTGCCTAGGCAGCATTATGAGTGGTTTAATGTTTCCAGTTCTTAGATGTCATTAAATACACTCTCTCCTGCTTAGCTGATCTGTTCAATCTTTCTTCCCCTTTAAGTTTCCTCCTTAATTGTTCCACAGACATTTACTGGAATGATGCTTCATTTCTTATCATCTGTTCTTAGAAAAACTGGACCAAAACTTCCAGGATTTTACCTGTGAGGCTTAACAGAACTTTTGTTGAACAGTACCCTTTTTTCTTTCCTTTTCTCTGAGCTGGAAAATTGCAAAGGAGCTAGGAAGGTTGCAAAGCCTGTGTTGTGTATGCCAGGCAGTGCCAGGGACTCATCTGTATAAAAATTGCCTCTGCCTGTGGGGGCCTGAAAAGAAAGGAAGTCTTGGACATTGAATTTTGTGCTGGTCAGTTCAAGAGGAATCCTCTCGGGGACTGGAGGCTGCTGACTTAAAAGCCTTTATTTTAAGCCTAGCATTAAGCCTAGCTTCAAACCAGTATTAAAGGATGCCTTCCCCCAGTGCACTCCCTTTTTTCTTTGACTCAGGAACTGAGATAGTAGAAAGCTGTCTGCCTTTTATGTAGCCAGTGTTTTACTGAATATGAACAAATCTATAGTGGATAATGCTGGAGTACTGCAAGTTCATCATCACAATCATCATGAGGATTTTAATGTGCACATCTTGTTTTCAATTTCTGTCTGTGTATGTGGTTTCCACTGTGAGCATTGCTTTTTGTGTGCGAGTGTTTGATAAATTAGGTTTTTCAGAAGCTCACGTTCACTTTTCTTGCGTTCTTGTTTTAAGTTAATATAATTATAAACCAGGTGCTTGTCAATGGTAAATTCCTGACTGAAGACATTGTAGTCTTCAAAAACACAAAACTGTAGTCTGCAGAATTTTTAAAAAAATAGCAGACCAGAATAAATAGGTAGATAATTAAACAGATAGTTTTGGAAGCTGAGGACACAGAAGGGGCTTTTTGTTCTGTCAGAGGGAGGAAGATATTGAATAATGCTGAAAACAAAATCCAGCTGCCTGCATGCAATTGTGTTAGTTCAACAACATCATCCCTCTCCAAAATTGTTTGCATGGTGGAACTTGATAAGTTTTAATGCAGATCCTTGAAATAAGTATCATTTGTATCCCTCATGCAAGGTAGTTATAAATAGGAAGGCTTATCCATGCATCATCTCCAAACTCTGGCTTGAGGATTTGGGTGAAGGGGAAGAAACAGCTTTGTTATTTTCATCTCTTTTTGGTTTTTTTGATGATGCCTTTATGGAGAAAAAAAAAATAAGCTGTTGTTAAAAAAATAAATCAGTTACACTAAGACTTGCAGTGCTGACACTTTTCTTTAGTATGTGTGCAGTTTTTCTCAGATGTCTCAATGCTATGGAGAGAAAAGTGTAAACAGCACTTAAAAACATTGAAAATACCAAAAGTAAACTTGGATGTATCAAATCTCACAGTGTTCAGTAAAACAGAAACTGAGTAAAGATAAAGCCGAATTTCAGAGTAGGTGGCCACTTGTCTGTACTGTTTCTGTAACAGCTGTACTGGTTTAATCAGAACTTCTTTATCAGGTTTTCTTGAAGGAGATCTTCAGCAATAATAAATATTGCTAAGAATGGAATGATGGTCAGGTTAGTATGATGTGTTTCTGCTTAGTAACTGTATAGGACTAGAAATTCAGGTAATCTTACCAGTGTATTGGTAGAATTGTGCAGGTGATTTACATTCTTTGAGGCTGATATAACATCCGCTGTAGTGGAATATAAAAGATCTGTGACAAAACTTGTCATACTTAAAAACTGAATGAGTCTTCCATAAATTAAAAATAAAGCATAAGACTGTATTATTTAGAATCGTATGCAGTCAAGAGGTCAACATGTGCAAAGACAGCCTGTTCTAGCAACCTGTTAGATGAATTAGGAGAATAAGAAGGTTTAGAGCTTTATGGGAGATTATCCTGCTCTTCTCCGCATGGCAGGCAGTGCTGATTAATGCTGTGTGTTTCTTTAATCTCAGGGTTTGTAGGAGAAAACACCCAACCAATCCCAGAAAACAACATTGGGAACAGAATGCTTCAGAGTATGGGCTGGACCCCAGGCACGGGCCTTGGACCAGACGGCAAAGGGATAGCAGAGCCCATACGAGCCATCCAGAGACCAAAAGGACTCGGACTTGGATTCAGCTGACAGAAATGCACTCTGGCTGCCCAAGAAAAATAAAGCTCCAAATTATTTTAAAAATACAAAAAAAAAAAAAAGAAAGAAAAAAGGCAAATATATTATTTGTTGTGATGGGCACATCCAGTTACTCTTCTCTCAAAGATCACTGAAGTCAACGAGCTTCATACTGGCTACACCAGCTGCAAGGTACAGCCGCGGTGACAGAACCGGCATTCAAGTCCAACTTTACAATGGTGCTAAAATGTACAAAAACTTCTACTTTTTTATTTTCTGTGGTCTTAAGGTTTATATTAAGCATAAAATTCAGTATATTCACTTTTTTTCCTAAAAGCTTCTGACACAGCAGGTTTTAGTTTTCTTTTGTAAGTACAATTTCATCTCAAGAGCCTTGATAACATTTGTCCAGGAAAATGGAACTTTTTACAGCTATTGTGGTTTTCCCCTCTTCAGGCAAAGTTTCCAAACCTGGTATTTGTAGTGTTTAACAATATTTGAGGATAAGCTGTCATTATGCCCATAAGACATACACTTTTCCCACTGGAAGGTGATACGGTATGCAATTTTGTATAAGAGCATGAAAAACAGCTTTGTTGTCAGAGAAATGCCATTCCAGCATCATTTTCTGCCAATGTCTTACTGTCTTCCACATTCAAGCTCAAAAGTAACGCTTTTATACTTGTTTTTACATTTACAGGATTATCTTTTCTCAGAAAATATTTTGAAAAGTAAAAGTTTACTCTGACTTTGGATTTCCCTTTATATTAAGAATTCTCAGTGTTGCCACATTTACGAATAGTTTGAGCTTTGAATCAAAAAATTGTATTTGAAAGATGACTGTCTTTCAGTGTCTATATTGTGGGGTTTGGCATATTTTAAACAATGCAGCGTTCAACATGGTGTTATCATTTGGTTTGTGACCATACTGTTGCCAGTGAGCCACAACCTTTAAGGATCATGAACAGAAAAAGGGCAAGGAGAAGCAGGATTAGGATGGAGGAAAGGAAGGGAAAAGATACTTTGATGGCATCTCACAAATCTAAGCTAGCAATTTAAAATCAAGAGGGATCATTAAGTGTTTCAATCAGTATCCTAATGTATCTAATGTCAGCAGAAGCAATTTCATTAAGCACCAACCAATCAAGCTCCTAGGGTACTTATTAGTCTGCAGGATAAAACAAATTCCACTTTAAAATTAAGTGATAGGGCTGAAGGAAACTTTTGTTCCCATGGACTAAGAAGAAAATCCTGCCCCTCTTACCACCCGTGCCTGTAGCAGCTGGCAATATTTACCCTGACTGCGGAGGGAACAGGATTTGATTCTCCAGTCTTTTTTTGCTCCAAGAGGAGGATCTCTCCCTTCCTCAACTTCCAAACTGCAGAGAAAAATACTAAGTTCCAGATTTTTGCAAAGATATTTCATGTGACTCTGAAATACAGTGATTAAATTTAAGACGTGTTTTTATTACTTTTTTTTTCTCTCTCAGCTTCACCCATTTTTCCAGGAAATAGCAGCAGGAAGATTACAAATAGCAGCATTATGGCAGTGAATTTGCTTAAAAGAAATGTTCATACTTTCCACTGTGATAACTATCAATTTGGAACATTGTTTTGCCATGCACCATAGTGTAGAGTGAAAGGTTAGTACCTGATGTTGTTTTTATGATAGTTGAATGCACAATGCACATGTTCTCTAAGTTTCGGAAAGACTTTTTTGCTATTTAAATATTTCATGTGATTGAATGGTTTGACTTTTTAAAATTATAAGAAATTTTAAACAGACTTGGGATTTATACAACAACACATACACTTTTTAATGGAAGTTTTTGGGGCACAGCATTATGGGAGTTTGCCATTTCAAATATTTCTTGCACAGCTGAACTAGGGTAAATACATTCCATATTCAAAGAATTTCAGGGCCACAAAGGGCCAACAGTCTGGAATTCCACAGCTGGCAGAGGTGCCCACTTGTATAAGTATTATTTCCAATAATGCATTTATGTGGCCTGCACCTGTTCTGTCAGTGCCACATGCTACCAAGAGCAAGCGAATTCTAACAACCTCTTAGTGTTGTACACCACAATCAAAAATCTGTTAAAATGGTTTTCAGCGTGTGAACTGGGAAAGTGAATCTTTTGAGATCCGTTTGTCGTAGTTCTGTTTGCAAAACTGTAAAGGAATACTCATTCTATGTTAAAATTCCATTGGTTTGCTTTGGTTACACCACCTGTATGTCTTGGGCAGGAAGTTCTAAGTATGGCACATATAACACTTTGAAGTATTTCTGTGTCATATCAGTAGTTCCTCAAGAAATAAGTCTACAGCTCCAAAAGACTTGTAAATGTTTCCTGTTTTTAAAAAATGAGGGAAATCATAGATATATGTTGAAGGAAAATATATTTAGCTCATTCAACTCTTTTTTCATCCATTCATGCAGATACAATGAAGCAGCCAGTCTAGTAAGCAGTCATAATGGAAGAACTATTTAGTCAGATTGAAAATCTTACAACTTTTTGTTTTAAATCAGTCTACTAGTGAGAAACCGTTAGACATTAAGATTAGTCAAACTGGTTTTTATATAGAGATAGATACACTTTGTTTTCCTGAGGTATTATCAATAGATGCCACATCTGACTTTATATTATTAGAAGCTGTAGAACAAAGTGATTAAAATATTTTACTGTAGTGTTTTGAGATATTTTTTTCACAGTAAAATTCCCATTCTGACTCAAACTTTCATTTCATTTTCACTTTTCCACATCTCACAGGAGTGGTTTTAAAGATACTCTAGTAGTATGATTTCTCACAGTTAAAACTAGTGTTAAGAAACAAAACAAAAATTAATTGTAGGGTTTTTTTCCTTTTTTTAAGCCATTGCAATGTTAGCTGGCTTTGAAACAGATCAAAAGACTTGGATTTACTGGTTTTTTTCTTCATATCTTTCCTATGTCTAACTTGCAATCATACTATGATACCTGCTATAAAGCTGGCTCACATTATTTTAAAATACATGCAAGTATTTTCAGATAGTAATTCCTTTATGTCTGTGACACTGAAGGGCTTTTGCCTACATAAATAAATATGGGATCATCTTGTATCTAAAAGTTACCATCCATCACTTGCCAGAATCTTTCCATTTAGATATTTGAATCAGTAGCTCAGCAGTTACCATAAAATTCTTCCTCTGAAGAATGTTTAGTGAAGAGACATTGCCTATTATTGCATTGTGTTTTGCTACATGTTCCATGGTGTCTCAAAGTTCTGTGAATTGAGCCATTAACTGTTAATAAAAGAAACCCATGAGCAGTATCTTATTTCTAAATAAATATTTGTTGAAGTTGGAGAAGCATTATCAATATGCCCATTTTAACAAGTTTGTCCCTGCATTTGTCTTTCTGCAATTAGGTCAATAATGGGTGTAGAATGGCAGTAAATAGCTAAATAATATGTGTAGAATGCTTTGCTTTGACAACACAAATACAAGATGAAATAAAATAAGTAGACCCCATTCTTCATGAGTTTCACTTGTTCTTTTCTTTAAAGTGTGTTGTTACTGCACAGGTGAGTACAAAAACATGATGTTTCTGAAAATATGATTGAGGTGGGTAATATCATGTACCAAGCCAGGTACATATTATGCTAAAGCTATTACACTACCTTATACGTACCTTTTTACTAGTACCTCTTTTCTAGGTTAATATTATCCAGCTAAGAGGTGACACCACAGTGTTGAGAAATACCTCATTTAAGATGTTTGCAGTATTTATTTATCGTAATCTAAGACATTTGAATACAGGTTCTCCTCACGCCTTAAGTATGTGTATACTTTGATAACTGTGGCAGGGCCTTGTGCTTTCTCTTCAAACAGTTTTCCAAAATTTTTCCTCCAAGGAAAACCTCACACAGCCTTTGTTTTACTTTCCCTTACCCTATGTTTCCAGGGCACTTTCAGTAAAGGTGTACCAGAATTGGGAATTCTTACTTTAAAGTCAAGAAACTTTTTAATTAGACTTCCGTCCCTCGCAGAGTTTTTAGGAGCAGTGGGGTAGTATTTAGCACACAGCAGTTGCATAACCACGTTACCAACGTGTGCATTCAGTCTGAAAAAAACAGTCTGAATTACTTCTTTGTCAACCAGTTGTCCAACTATAAAGCTAATGTGAAATGTTAAATGAGGAAGTGGCATTTTTAAAGATTTTCATTTTTTTACAGGCACAGTATTTGAGAGAGGGGGAATTATTTTTTTACTTCAGTGACCTCTCTGTACCGCAAAAAGTCTTGGAAGAGTTGCAGCAATTTCAGCATGGATGTCCTGCTTCTGGGGCATTTTGCTAAAAAAAACCCTATGTAGAAACTTTAGCAGCATAAATTGATACAAGATGTATCTATTAAGCTGTAAGAGAGTTTGTTGAGTAAAACTATCCACCAACATTTTAAGTGTGCTTTAAGTTATTGTGGGAAGCTTTAAAAAAGCAACAGAAGTTTCATGATTTACTGGTAGTAGGTAACTCTAGTGGAAATGTCTGGGCTTCTTACAATTCTCTTCTGTTCCACAACAGAACAGATATTGGAGGTATTTTGACCTTGATGCTGTGTTACTTGCATTTGAATATTCAGTCTTTTAAGTAACAAGCTGAAAATCACTGAGATTCTGTAAACTTGACCTCCTGCAGCAACGAGAACTGTGTTTATTACCAGCTATGAAAAATGGTTTAAATTAATAGGAGGCATTGCCGCTATAAAAAGTTGTGATTTTGGCCTGACTCTTTATAACATTGCTATGATGAATTTAAGTATTGGGGAGTTCAGCTTCTGAAACTGTGAATATAAGCCATTAGTCGCTGAGGGATGTATGTGTTATTGTAATATATTTACCCTGATTAAATATGTGAGCTTATTAAAATATTTTTTCAGAATATTTGATCATAGATATGTTCATTTTAATTGTGCCCTCTCCATAGTGTTGTCTTTCATCCTTAATACTTGTCCATTTTTTTGAAAAGCTGCAACCCTCTATATGTTTTTAAGTGGTAATACCCAGTGTTTTCTCTCTTCAAGTGTAATCTCTTGTATGTGCTAAGTGATACCAC